GATAGATTGATATCTCACTGTCTTCATATCTATCTATCTATCTATCTATCTATTTTCCTGTTCTTTTCATCTCTCTCACACGCTGTATATCTATCTATCTATCTATCTATTTTCCTGTTCTTTTCATCTCTCTCACCCGCTGTATATCTATCTATCTATCTATCTATTTTCCTGTTCTTTTCATCGCTCTCACCCGCTGTATATCTATCTATCTATCTATCTATTTTCCTGTTCTTTTCATCTCTCTCATCTATCTATCTATCTATCTATCTATTTTCCTTTCTTTCATCGCTCTCTCACGCTGTATATCTATCTCTATCTATCTATCTATCTATCTATCTATTTTCCTGTTCTTTTCATCGCTCTCACACGCTGTATATCTATCTATCTATCTATCTATTTTCCTGTTCTTTTCATCGCTCTCACACGCTGTATATCTATCTATCTATCTATCTATCTATCTATCTATCTACCTATTTTCCTGTTCTTTTCATCGCTCTCACACGCTGTATATCTATCTATCTATCTATCTATCCATTTCCTGTTCTTTTCATCTCCCTCACACGCTGTATATCTATCTATCAGTATGTGCGATGTTCACCATTCAAGTATTTCCTTGTGAGACGCACCCCAAATGTTTACACTCATGCTTCTATCTTTAAGTAACGCAACCATGTCTTTCTGATAGGCACTCCTCAGGAGCGTTTATTTTGATGCGTTGATTAAAATATATATTTGCTTACATTTATCAGTTCAACGTCAATACATCATTCGAATGAGCTGCTCTTCTTTTAGAAAATGACTTATCGAAATGTCATATTTCAGTAGTTGCACTCAATTTTTCATCGGTCACATGACCGTCAGCTGGTGTTGATTTCATATAAGAAGGGAACATGTAATACCAGTTCTAATGGTAGGTAGATCACTTTAATTGGCTTAAAATCAGCGATCTCCAACAGTCTCTGTACGAATGCCAGATAATCTATGTTTGCATATTTTTGCAGAAAAGAAATGAATCAGTTTTATAAATGAATGAAAATAATTATTTGCTTACACACATACCTACCTTACCAAACGCATTTGGAATCACGGAGTTATGTCTAAAGTTAGCAACTATCTACAACCGTTTTCTCAAATCAGTCATTACGAATATGGTCTGTGTGTGTTGGGGAGGGTTGTACTTCGTCAAATCTCACAGACTGGCGATAAAGACTCACAATGAAAGTATTCCTTAAAATAACAAAGACTCCCCAAAGCAGTAACAACTACAATGGATAGCACATGTAACTCGAAGAGAAGATAATGACAATGATTTTACCTTTCCACAAAAACTTAAACAAAATGTTAGTGTTGTGGATTCCGGGAATGGAATCCTGCAAAAATAAATAAACAACGCCATAAATTGAGATAGAAAAATAAGTGTATTAACGTAAGAATACAAAAGTGAAGATTAGTAGTCCAGGACTGCGGGTTAGTAGAAGTATATATATACAAGTCTCTGGACTCTTTTATAACTCTGAGAACACCCTGTGTCTCCGTATCTCCCAACCTGTCTCAACGTATCTCGTTATTTAATATCCCACCCACGAGGAATATATGTGGCACAAGGGCGAGTTTAAAGTGGGTTTCTCCGAGCCCGTAGGCTCGGCCAAAAATATACCATTTGAACCCGCCTAGACGGGTTCAGGCCCTGTCTACCTCCCCGGACGAAACCTTGCCCTTCGGCAAAGCTTCGTCCGGGTTCCTCTCTGGCAAAGCAGAGTGTTCGACAGACGTCGAGACTGTATCTCAACAGCAGGTATTCTCTCCGTCAGTCTAAGTATACTTTGGACGAGTCCATCTTATGTAAAAATGGAAGAGCCCCACAACAGTTAGAAAATAAGCCACCATAATACTCACAAATGCAATAAAATTGAATGGACATGCGAAACCTATTTCCCGGAATAGCTTTATAAGAAAACACTACTTTTATATAAATTCTAACTGATAGTAATACAATGTATCGAAACGGCTATAGTTACGTTTACCATTGTGAATACCATAGTATGAGCTTTGTCAGGGTTAGATAGGATTTTGAATTTATAGTGCTCTTTCTCCTCTGTTGACTGCCAACCATGGCTAGAGATCCCAGTCTGACCTGCTATTTAAACCCTAAACGGTGTGAGTAAAGAATTGTTCCTACCTCCCCCAATCTTATTTCAAATGTGAAATTGAATGCAACAAAAATCGACTGTAATTCGAACTTAGCTCGCCAATTTCTCTTTTAGAGCCACTAAACATTGCACCACATTAAATGAATAAAATATACTTTTGTCTTTTTTTTTTCTTTTTGTAATTAGCTACGTCTGACTCAGAACAAAAGATTATAGTGACAATTACGAAAGAAAAAAAATCTAAGCCGTGATTGGGCAATCATAGCAATCATATATCATTAAAAATATCAATCCACTACAAAACCTCTGACAATATAATCGATTACATAACTTCTGATATGAAAAATAAATTATTCATTTCAATATTTCAAGTTGGTGCCAGTCAGATAAAATCTTGTGGCAGGTCAGACGTTGCATGCTGACTGTACTTTACAAATCCCCGCTTTATGCGAAATTTGAAGACTGCTTTCATATATTAGCATGTTTTAAATACCGTTGCATTATGAAAAAATTAGAATGAGAGTTGCACTTTAATGTAAAATCAATCGCCAATGATATCGCATTTATGAATTTATATTTAACGTGTAGGAAATTGAAAATGATTGAGTTCTTGCAATTTATTAAAACTTTCAGTATTCTTTTAAGTCGAAAATTATTTTGGATTGTAGGAGGTTGCTTAAATTACCCGGTGTCTACCCATCGTAGAACCCCATGTATGTACTGAATAGGATCGCAGCCGTGTAACATCGGTGTTTTCAGTATGATTTGACCGTAGGCGAAAAGGTCTTGAAGATTGAGAGTTGTTTTTAATAGCTGTCATGAAATACAAAATTATTACCTCTGGGATTTTAAATGTTCAATATACTTTAATTTATAACAATTTTGCTCTGTACCTTGATATAGAGCTCTCTCTGGATATATATCCTCCTGGAAATTCCAAACGGATTACCATATTTTATTATTACTATATATATATATATATATATATATATATATAGGTTGAATAAGACGGATGAATTTTTCGTCGATTGAAATAGGCCTATAACCCATATGAACTAATTTTGGATTTTAATGTGTACTAATTATTTTGCAGTCTAATAATAAATACACTGAGTTTTTTTTTATGGATCAGTTTTAATATTTTATATTACTAGGATCCACTTAGATCATATACCAACGGATTTATTACATTTGGAATATATATATATATATATATATATATATATATATATGTATAGTGGAGAAAAAAACAGTCAGATAGACACGCAATATTTTGTCATAAAACAAATTTCCGAAATGGATCTGGTAATGATCTTTTTTTAAAATTATGCTCCCCATATATATATATATATATATATATATATACACAGCCTCTTTGCAATTATTATTCAAATCAAACCTCATTAACTCAAAAAGTTTTGAACCGATATTTGTCAACTTTCACCTCGTTCCTTACCACTCATTCTATTTTCTGTTATTTTTAATGGTTAGTTTTTGAGATATTTGGAATTTACGGAAATGGACTGACTGAACTTAGTATTGAGATTAAACAAGTATTTGCTTAATACCTCTGAAATCTAATAAATTTTTTTTCATTTTTTGCGTAAGTTGAAATATGGGTAAAGAGATGGATCTAACAACTGCTGAAAAACAGAAAATAACAAAATTATTGAGTGAGGGAATGTCCACATTGAAATATCAGAGGAGCTTTGCAGAGATCATTGAACGATAAAGAAGTCTGATGAAAATATATGCAAGTTGAAAACTCGAAGCAAAAGAAAAATCTTAAATAACTTCCTTTCTCGAGATTAACGTAAATTAAAGCGAATTATAGAGAAACAAGTACTTTTGACCAGAATTTTGAAAAAAAACTGGAATTTAGGGAGTCAAAAGGCCAAATATGGAGATCTATAAACACTCATAGCCAACCTCCTCAAACTAAAGCAAATATTTTAAAGTGTCAAAATTGGTCAAAGATATACATGAAAAATGACTTTTCTGAAATAATTTTCACGGAGAGAGTGACATTTTATGGACCTGATGGATGAGCCAAAAGATAGATTTAATCGAATTCAGACGTACCTGGGGCTAAAAGAAGGCAACAAGGAGGTGGCAGTGTTAGGAATGGGGATAGAATTGTCGACTAGACCATTATTGGATCATTCAAAATCGATGAAGGAGTTTAACAAAAGAGTGCTATCTATTGTGATGTTAGAGATTTTCTTTGTATGGTACAAGTCCGAGATTAGCAGTTCCAAATTGAAGCGTGTATTTATGCACGACAGTTCTCTTCTTGTTTGTCTAAACTTACCCCTGAATTCTTGAAGGGAAAATATTTACAGGAGAGAAGATAATGGAATGGCCACCATTTGCAGACCTAGCAAATGATCTCCGCCAAAAAATATAATTCCATTTAAATACCTGGCGCAGCGTGTACCCAGCTTTTCCGTTTGAATTTTTTCCGAGATGCCAGGTATTCTTCTTTGGATTTTTATCAAGAATCTCTAAATTAATAGCAGAAAAAACAGAAGAGTTGTGATAGCAACATTCAAAGAATGCAAGAATGGTATATTGATAAAAATATAAGACAAATTCTGACAAGAACAATTGTATAGCATGACACAGTGAACAAGTTTTCCTAGGAGAAAACCTAGCAAAAGATTCAATAAAATATTTCCACTTCATGTCAGTGGAAAATCAACACGAGAATGCTCGAGGATTTACTATCCAGGAGGTTACCATCAGCCATGATAATCTTCTTTTATGTATCTTGTCCCTTCAGGACGACAGCGATTATGGCTCTCCGCAATATCCTATCCTTTGTAGACGTTATTTTTCTGTTTTCTTTCCTAAACCTTGTTCTGCAATCCATTTAGGTTATGAGTTGATTTCTTCTGTCCCACTTGCCTTCAGAGAGTTCTGTGAGGAGGACATTTTAAAGCCTTCTTTCCTCATTATATGCCCTACAAAGTTCGGCTGTTTTTTTTTTCCTGATGTTAATTTAAGTATTAATTTGATTTTCCTTTTTGTGGCTGCTCGGTCCATTGTATTATAATTATCCTGCTGACGAATCACATTTTTTTCACTTCAAGTCTATTCATCATCTGTAATGAGATTGTCCAACATTCATTTACTATAATCTTTATAAAAGACTCGCGAAAGTAAAGGTGAGGTAACCGCTCAATTGTTTCATTTAGAAAAAAATGGTATCTAACCAAAGATGTGTTTACACTAATATAACGTACATTATAATATATATATATATATATATATATATATACACAGAGAGAGAGAGAGAGACGGTAAGGTGGGAGAGGAAGCGTGGGAGTTCTGAAAAGTTCTGACATCTAAAATTTGAATAAAATCAGAATTCGTTTCTCTGAATAGCATCTTTGTTGGGCCTGAAGGTTTTCTTCACCCGGTGAATATATATATATATATATATATATATATATATATATAGTGGATTCCGAGATGAAATTCTGTCTTCAATGAATGACAAACGCAAGAATTAAATACAAGAAATTAAATGTATTTGCACAATAATACAATGGGTAATACTGTTAGTAAATCCAGGAACACGGTTAGTAGCAATAATATATATATATAGTCTGGAAGTAGGACTTCCTTAGAGTCTACGTGCTTGTAACTGATTTCTACAAGCGGTTACCTCACACTATTACTCTACCTCCAACTCAATCTGCTCACTCTCTCCATATTCTGACTGTGGGTATTTAATGGCAGCAGTCCAAGTAACACTCTGGTCGAGTCCACTTATATGAAAAAGGGGAGGACACCATAACAATATATATGACCATTTCTGATAGAGTATATCTGGAAAAAGAAAATATGAATAAGAAAGACAAATGTAAAACTTATCTTAGCCGACGTGTTTTGTCCTTTGCGAAACTTTATCAAGTCATAAATGACACAGAAGTCGGAATGCCGTTGGATAAGATGCTATCTTTTTGTCCTTATTATATCCTTAGGTATATACACACGCGCATGCATATATATATATATATATATATATATATATATATATATATAGTAGGGTGTGCAGTTTATATTATAATGTGTATTCTCTCTCTCGCTATATATATATATATATATATATATATATATAACACACGCGCGAACATACGCACATATGTGCATGTGTGTGTGTGTGTGTGTGTGTGTGTGGTGAGTAATGGTTGAAGGGGGAGAGAATGTGAAAGAGTTCATATCAAGCTAATCATCACTTCGTTATAGGCAAAGATTTGGCAATATGAACCAATGGAAACTTCATCTTAAGCTTAAGGCATCTCTTTCAGAGTTGGTCTTCAGCCAATAATTTTCTACGCCCTTTCCAAAATTTCTGGGTTATTATGGAGGGAAGATGCGTCATTCGTTGAGTCATGTTAAAGCAAAGAATACGGTTTTGTGGCCTTTTTAGAAACCACGACGACTTTTTATTACGCATTCTTATGCTGCATTGAACCTTCGCCCAGAAGTGATTTACCGTATGCATCTATCTATTTTTTAGAGGACGAAATACATGACACACTATTTCGTACTTTTCTATCTCTCTACCTCTCTATCTCTCTACCTCTCTATCTCTCTACGTCTCTGTCTCTACCTCTCTGTCTATCTCTCTACCTCTCTGTCTCTCTACCTCTCTGTCTACCTCTCTATATCTATCTCTCTACCTCTCTATCTCTCTATCTATCTGCCTACCTATCTCTCTACCTATCTCTCTACCTATCTCTCTATCTATCTATCTCTCTGTCTACCTCTCTATCTATCTATGTATTTAACAATCCATTGGAGAGCAAGTGCTAAATTTTGATTTTGCTGCCATAGTACCATTATTCTTGTAAAATCTTCTGTTTCATGAATTAATGCATTCGACAATTTCAAAGCTAACTACGGTTGCGTGTTGAAAATCCACAATCTTCACAAAATCTGACCGAATGAAAGAATTTTTAATTTAGCGGGGAGCATATTGGTCGTTTGATAATAGTTGCGGCACTTCTTGTACAAACAAAGATCTAATATCTTTTTCGCAAACTGGAATTTTCTAAACAACCTGACAAATTCGTCCCTATAATCTTTAATTGAGCTGATGGCATCTGCGCATAATTATATTATTTTTCCAAAAATATATTTCTTAATATAAATATTCTTCTTAAATATATTTTTCTCATAAGTTTTTATTAATAATGAATAAAAAATATTATATTACCTAGGGCAGAGGTTAGCTTCAATGATTTAAGCCCTCGAAAACGTAACTGCTATCTTTTAATTACTATAAATAATGCTGCTTGTCTTTTATCTGCATGGTTGATACTAATACTAATTACAAGGGAAACAATAAATAGCGCCTACTTAGTTTTACGTTTTCCACTGACATGAAGTGAGGGGAATTGAATTGAATCAACTGCTAGCTCTGCTGCTAGGAAAGTTTGTTTTTCTTGTCGGACGTCCATTAGATATTGCTGTCATATCTGGTCTGATATAACCTGCTATATATCACACGATTCTCAACAAAATTCAAAGAACTGTATCTAATATTATCCGTCCTGACCTGACATCTTGACTTCAGTAAACCTCCCCCCGCTCTGATGTTGCTTCACTCTGTTTTCTCTATAAATATTTTCATGTCAGTTCTTCTAATGAGCTTTCCACTTTGGTACAATCGACCGCACAGAGGTAAATGCCCGACTAGATTGGCGACTAGGTCTCATTGTTTTACTATCTAATTAACTCGATGTAACTGTAAAAACCGTCCCGATAGTTACTTTTTTTCTCGCACTTCTCACTTGTGGAACACCCTTCCGTTTTCTAGTTTCCCTAAATCTTTCAACAGTTTATTGCAAACGTTAATCGCCATCATCTCTGTTTCTGGATTCTGTTATTTTATTGTCTTTTCTTCTAACTGGCCTTCTTATGCGTTGTCATTTCCAGTAACCCCTTGCATCATAGTTGCTTTATCGCCTTGCTTGAACTGAAACGATATGTATAGAATTTCATGCTTCCCACGTTTAAATCCATTTTTTTAACAAATATATGAACCTCGCGCTGTGTAATACACTGAAAATATACAGATTGTTCCAAAACGTGCACACGTACTTTCACAGCTGATTAATATTTCTTTTCAGATTTAATACATGATATATAAAGGTGACAGCCAGGTTAAGCTTTCAAGAAAGGAAATGCATTTGAATTCTCTACTGGAAATACTGTTGAATTACAAAAGATGTTCAGGAGGGAATTTCGAACAGATACACCTACCAACGCTCGAATGAGAGATAAGTTTGAATCTGATATAACTTTCAGAGTGTTCGCAAGAAACTTTCCAGTAGACCGCAGATATTGATGAATCCGACAAAGCAAGAAGGTTTACTAGAAATGTATCATCAGATCTCAGTAAAATATATGCGGCAATCGAATAGAGAAATAAGATTATCCATCGCATTTTGAAGCGATTTAATTGGAGAAATTCCATTCTAAGAATATTTCATTCTCTCAATGAATATGAATCGGACTGAAAAGTAGAGTTTTGCGAGTGTTACATGAAAAAAGGTGTTGAAAATGGACACAATTCGTAGTTCTGTTTGAAATGACAATGACGTATTTAAAATTAAATTGTTTAATTAATCACCAGAATTGTTAGGAACATGGAAACCCAAGTATTATCAAGGAACAGCATGTTAATTTACAAGGAGTTACAATGACGTTCTTTTTATCATCAAAGAGATTAACTGTCCATTGGTTTGATTTGTTTTACATTACTATGACTGGTCTTATTTACTTGAAATCACTGCAACAGTCTGTCATGCCACGAATTCCAGAGGAGTTAAGGATAGGAAGCATTGCTTCCAACTTGGTGGGATACTCTCACTGTACCATCGCCTAATCTGATGATATTTGTGCCAAAGAAAAGGATTAGACAAAGATATCCAGCGGAATATCCCCAGTGTCTCAACACTTCATATCAATAATTTTTCTTTTTAATGTGGATACTTTACGCTTAATGTTTTCGTAAAATGGGGCGAATGGGTGATTCAAAACATACAATTATTCTTTCACTTGTGTGAATATAAGACAAATTATACTAAAAATTTACAAAAGTGTCCTCTGGATGACTGAAAAATACTAAACAAAAATAAAACTTTTAAAAATTATAATTTATTAATATATTTTACTTAAATAAGTGTAATTATGTTTGAATCAGTCATCATTTCAAATGTTTCAATTTAATTAAATATAAAAAAAAAATAATTTAGATTAAATTGTCCAACGTTGGACCAGACCAGATGCGACAGTAATATTCAATGCAAGGACGAATGATGTGTGCAAGATAGATTCTGTCAAGAAATATTATCGACAACAGCATAGTGAATCAACATTCCTAACAGCAGACATAACTGAATCAACAGAATCTTTCCACTTCATGACAATGTTTTGATTTGCACATATACAATCGTTGGAAAATATGACTGCTATATTGCAACATAATTCTATTTCCAACATGAAGCACAGCGGTTTACCTTCCATTCTACATCAATGATAACGACGAGTGAATTGTGTATTGGTTAACGATGAAAAGAAAACGTTTTTAAAACGACGTTGAAAATCTTATTTACTTGCAGTTACAAAAACTGCAAAAGAGACTGACACTTCTACACAAAAAAAAAAAAACAATATCCTGTCCCGTGTCAAAAGCTGACGGTGGCGCCAAGGGTGGCAGTACCGCCTTAGCCATGGAAAACGTGTTACCTTCCCTGGTTGGCGTTTGAGGAGGGCAGAGTGTCGCGTGTACATTCACACATTGTATGTAGAAAACTGTAAATTATTTTACTTAAAAATTCATAATTAAGAGAATTTTGATTAAAACTAAATTACTTTTGTAAATGACATTATCTAATCTTGTAAGAATACTTTTCATTTGTGTATTTGCTTTGTTTATATTAATTTTTGCTTCCATATTTGCCAATTTTGAAGTTGTATGTGTATTTTGTTTGGTAAATACAGACGCAACAAGCATAGAGAATATTGTGTGGACATTGAAATAATATTTAAGAAATTCGTTTATTTTATTTTTTTTAACAGTGATGTTCATTCTATAAAGTCCCGGGAGCCACTCGAAGTAGATTTTACAGAGTAAATGCAAAGTTTTGAAAATATATGGAGAATATAACTGTTACACCTAGACTTGAACAGGTTAAGATAGTAGTGACCTGGAAAAAACCCTTTTGGGGTTCGGTTCCACAGAAAAACCATTGGCAGGAAGAAGCGTTTCGAGCGGAATTTACATCTCAGAAATTGAAGACGAATGGAATGAAGGTTGTTCTTTAAAATATGCATAGCATGGCGGGTCTTAGCCGTGCAGATTTAAACAAGTGGAACTAAGGAATGAAGCTCGTCGGTGCACTTTACATTGAAAAGGAGCAGTGAGAAGTTTAAGATGTTTTGTCCATGAAAAATAATTGTAAGGTGGAAAATAATTTGTCACCCACGAGGACGCGGAGATGCATTTAGACTATCGAGACTGGATAGTGAAGACTGCCCATACATATCACTAGTACCGCAATTAATCTTGATCTTGAAAAGTTAGCACGAGAAGTCAGGTAGTTATTGGAGCAGTATAATGAACCAACGATTTTTCCAGGATCTTTAGCTAGGGGTTTTATGTACGAGCTACAATTGCGGTTTGGGTTGATTTTAAGTTTCAGTAGGCGATCAAGACACGAAGCCTCATTGAGCGGATATCAATTCATCATGAATGGCGTCCGATCAGTTAATGTTTGGTTTTCGAGGCATTGAATGTAAGCAGCCCGTTTTTACCCCAATGATCTGCAAAAGCTAAGTCAGAGGAGAGATCAATTTCCAATCTGTCATCTAGAGTTTTGAGGTTTATCCATAATACCGATGTATTATCAGCTTGAATAGTCTCAAATGATTGGAATATAATGTAATGCAGGTTTGATCTGAGACGCAACCAATGGGCGACGTCTGCGTTGATTGACAACTACTTTCAGGTTACTACCCGATAGGAAGGATTTTATAATTGAAAATAATCTTCCAACGATTCTATAGCGATAGAGCGTGTACAACAATCTATTGTGTCATACCAACTTGCAAGTCCTTGAAATATGTAATGTTATAGTCATTGAGATGTATTTATTGCCTAGTGCCTCATTGTTTCTGTAAGTAATGTCAGTTAGGACATCAGCAATGGTTCGGGCCGATCGAAAGCCGTACTGCTTGTCGCTCAAGAGGTTATTCTTGTTGAACATAGTCTCAAAAAAGCTAGCTAATGACACCGAGGAGACAGAGGACAATGAGCGCACAACCTGTTCTTGAAAACCGGACACACGCTTGTCATTTTCCAGACTTGTGAAGGATTTCTCTTTTAAAAAACGGTTAAATAATTTCGATAAGCCCGGGGATAATTCCGGGTTTATATTCTCATGGACAACAACTATGATTCTCTATGGGCCAGAAGCTTTCTTAGTGTCATGACAAGTCTTGAGAATTCCCGGGCTATAATAAAATGCTACGGATTAAGAGGATATTCTATATAATCTAATATTGTGTTTGAGGCAAAGTTTGAGAAAAGAAAACAAGATTGCCTAGAACTCTAAATGTTTAGAGATGCTCTTTTTCACTCAACGACAGAGAAATATCTGTTAGTATGATCACCGCTAAGCTATATACAATATGGACAGTATTGAAAAAAAAAAAAAACAAAGAAACTCAAACAACACTTTCATTGTAATATGAAAAACTATGCAGCGACTCAAGTTTCAAGAAAACTTATAAAACATGCATGAAAAAGATCTTCAGCGCATGCGCATACACAGCGAAGAATTCATACATATAGATGCTAACTAAATATATATTTAAACATTATCGCATAACGTGGATTTGTATTATTTTTAACAATGCCTTGCGAATCCCTTAAAATTCCAACATAAGTATTGACTTACAGCAGGAAAATCTTCGTTAGATACATATTTCTAAGAAACTACACTGTCTCATCCTGTTCAAAAGGGGAAAAGCTGTAAAAATAAAATATTTATCGTTGAATATTTTTTTCAATAAATTCGTATTCAACTTCAACTAAAAAGAAATAGCGATATTTGATGAATTGCATTTAATTACTGCCATAAAAATATAATTTGTAATAATTATACACCAAAAATGTGATCGATAAAATTCCCCAAAACTTGACTTGTTTTTGACAATATTGGGATTTTCTTTTTTTTAGATTTGACTTTCAGTTAAAGAATTTCAGTTTTGTATTTTATTTACGACTTTAGGTTATTCTAAATTTGAAAAAAAATCATTCCATGTCAATTTAGATATATATTCATTATATTTGACGGAAATAGTATCTCTCAAATTTTAAAAAAAAAATTACCCAGATGAAGTAAAAACAATTTGGCATATATATATATATATATATATATATATATGTGTGTGTGTGTAAATATGCGTGGGAAAAATTGTGAAAATGGCCTACCTCAGAAACGCCCGCAAATCTGTGCATCGTGCAATCTCCGTTTGCACAACAAAAAAGCAAAATGGCGGCGCCCATATTTTATGCCGGGCGGTCTCGGACAATTCACGCGAAATCTCGTTGTCTGGTCATTCGCATGCAAATCGTGGTCGGTCCTCGGCTGTATAAAGCAGGCGCATTTTTGTTTCTGAGGACTGTGTTTTTTTTTTTTTGCTCGTCAGTAGTTTGGACGTGTGACCCTATTTTGTCGGTTACCCTCCTCGCGGTTCCTATCTGCTATTATCAGTTGAGTTGTTGCTTTACCACCACAGTATGTCTAGGAAAATTGATGAGCGAAACAATCTATCTGTGTTTGACAATATATACATGCTCCTGAAAAAATGATATCAGTTGAGCTCGCGGGGAGAAAAGTGAATGTGTAAACAGTGACTATTACTGCTCTGATGCAAGACGAATCGAGTTCTCCGGGCACGGCGTGTTTATCGAAAAATTAATACGTTTGAATTCACCTTCATCCCTGCCGTACGCCAATGGCTTAAGGGTAGTCTCCGACTGATATAAATTTGTAGGCGTTTCTACTCCGGCTTGAGGCAATCGGATGTCTAGTGAAACAGTCTGTCTGTGGATGACAATACATATATATATATATATATATATATATATATATATATATATATATATATATATATATACATCATGACTGTTTGAAAAATAAGAAAATATATCCATCATATAGATACCCATATATAAAATCTACTTATTCAGTTAACAATTTTTAAAATCCTTGATAATGGCTATCAGAATAGCCGAAAGCGCTCGCATATATATATTTCGATTTTTTGTCATATTTTTTTTAACCACTTTATGTTCAGAAAAGAAAAGCCGTATCTGAACACAAGAAAAATTGAAAATGTTTAATAGCAGTCAGTTGCGTTCAATAAAAATTTTATAAAAAGAGGGATCACTGCCCAAATTCTCTCAAAATTTTAAAGCTTTTTTCTTATTTTCTATCATCTTTTGTTTCCTTTTTCTTTTTTCTTATTTCGCTTTTTTTTTCTATCCCTGCTTGTCTGTCTGAATGGATTGATTCTATTTCTTAAAAATATTCGGACTGGAGAGATGAATATAACAATATTCATGAAATAAATCATAACACTTATGGACTTTTTAATGTGTTTTCTTAATTTGTCATTATATATTGCTCTACAACTTATATTGATCTCTCATTGGGTTAAAGTCTTCCTTTGAATAATCCCTATCAATTAGAAATTGGTATTTTATACACACACACACACACACACACACACACACACACACACACACACACACACACACACACATTATATTTTTTTTAAAATATGATTCCATAACGACGCAGAAATTAGTGTGTTTCGAAACGGGTCATCTGTATTCAAGTTTAATTTCCATATTAAACCGTAACTGTTCGATGACTGTTTCATCCTATTTCAAACATCGCTTGCGGATGAAACACTCATCCAACAGTTAAGGTTTAATATTGAAATTAATCTTGAATACGGATGAACAGTTTCGAAACGCAGTAATTTCTGTGTTGTTATGGAATCATATTTTTTTAAAATAATTATAATCTAGAGTCTACTTCTGTATCGAGCACTGTTTATTAAAAATGAAAACAAAACTACTAAATTTAGGATCATCAATCCCACAGGACTTTCCTGTTATAATAATACACACACACACACACACACACACATATATATATATATATATATATATATGTGTGTGTGTGTAGATAGTAAGATAGATAAATTCAAGATGTTCTTGACACGATCCCCTTCTCAAAATCTGAGGAAGCGACATATAATTCTGGAGAATTACATCTTGGCTGGAATAATATCATTTCAGACAATGTACATATACATTGTTAAATCGATAAGTTTGTAGATTAATTTTTGATAAAATATTGCAACGCATTTTTAGTTTTCCAGGTTATTTCTTACCTTTTCGTTATACATAATTCAGTGGTGAATATTAACAAGTTGAGCATTGGACATAATATGTCCCTCTTCAACGAATAAATTTGTTCATGTGTATTTCATGTTTATTTCGAAATATCTCTGAAATAACTCATTTTTGTCAAATAACCAAAGCTATCATGTCTCTCCACAGGGTCCTTTCGTCAAAATAGAATTTTGGACCATTAGTATTATTCTTTGTTCTTGTTGTAACATACTTCTTATAGGCTTACGGTCATAACACGTTGAAACCCCAGTTCCCGTACGATCCCTGAAGTTAAGGAACGTCGAGGATAGTCCACTACCTAGGTAGGTCACCGCTTGGGAATATCAGGTGTTGTAAACGTTTATGTGCAAAGGAGTAGAATGCGTAACGGCTCAGATCTGGAAATCGGAGAGCCGGACTGCAATTTCTATCGGCTTCGGTATATCCAATTACGGACAAATACCCTTGGAAAAGGCACGAGTCTACCTCCTCTTCCATGCAGCTCTGGGTTAATTAGTATGTCTTGTATCAGTAAAAGGAGGCACGGTGAACTAATGGATTGAGGAATCGGAAAGCCGAGTTCCAATTCCAGTCGAATCAGTTACATTCACTTACGTGCTAATAATCTTGGGAAAGGTATGGATCCTCTTCTTTTCCCACAAGCTATGGGTAAATAGCAGGACAGACCGGGTTCTCTAGCCTACCGCAGAAAGAAATGCCAATGGCAACCTTCTGCCTCGTCAGTCATATATCGAAAGTTACATGATTGCCTAAGCGTGTATCACGCATGAATGATAACTAACGATCAGTAAATTATTATTATCTCCCCCAAATTCTTAGAATCTAAAAAATATTTCATAGCTTTAAAAAAACTTGCAAAAGGTTGACAGACCTTAAGAAAACGAATCTCTCATTCACATCAAATAAAATCGTTAAATGGCTTGCACGCTGTTTCCTCCTGTTTCCAATACATTCAGTATATTCTGTGAGAGGTAAATATTCTAATCTCTTTTTCCTCATTAGAATTTAAATTTGGAATAATTAACTAACGCCACCTTAATTACGTGTTTCTATTCACGTCTTTAAACTTCCATATGATTAACTTTACTCATTTTACACTATTTACATTATTCGGAATATTGTCCTCATCATTGTCGCCATATACATCACAACGTTTCGGCTGTTGTACGCTCCGGCCTTTTTCAGGTAATTGGAATGTCGAACTGAACCTTTATTTTATTGAGGACATGGCACATTGGATAAAGGCGTTAGTTTGATCCAGTGATAGGACCCAAAGCGTGTGAGTTCAATACCTGGTTAAGGCGGTGGAGAAATTGGGGAGGGGAATTAAGAGGAGACAACTGATAACTGACATCCATTATACATGTCACGTGGAACTCGAACAGTCTACCGCATTGAGCGAAATAAAGGGTTCAGTACCACCTGAATAAGGCCGGAGCGTACAACAGCCGAAACGTTGTGATAAATATGGCAAAAAGATGAGGACAATAGTTCGAATAATGTAAATAGTGTACATAATACATCATCTCAGAAATATAGACGTTTACACATTTTGATTGAAAAAAATGCTGATCTCACTTGCATCGTTTGCCTCATAAAAACAATTCACGTCATTTAACTGAATAAAGACTGTAAATGAGAGAACGGCATATGTTCGGTTCGCGATATATATATATATACATCACTCTGACTGAATATGTTTATTTGCTTATTTTAAACCACTCTCTTAAAACATCAAGAAGAAAGAGGCGAAAACGAATGGTTATTCTGTAACTTTGGAATTATGATGAAAAACTGTGCCAAAAGTTATCTATTTTCTCTTGTAAGTCAACAGTTATTATACAATTCTGCATTCCCTTTGTGGCTTGTTTTCTCTCATATAAATTCGCAAGATCTCCTGCTTAGCGATACAAATCCCAGCAAAATTGGCACATTTTATCTTCCAATATCCATAAAAAATGACTTCTGCATCTCTTTCTATTAAAAATGGCAATGAGGATGCGACAAGAGAATAGTTTCTCTCCGGAAACAAGATGATGAAATGTCTCGCCCACAATTTGATATTCTCCTGGGTAAGATAAGAATCTCCTCTTTGATGTAAGCTTTTTTATATTATCTTTTTACATTTTACGATCCTTTGTTCAGAACGCTTCTGTTTTTTTAATCTTGAATTTTTTCTTTATACCAAATTGGCTCATAAGATAAACGTATACGTAGATAACAACACAGAATAGAAATGAAATATGGACTACCGGGCTATTATGGCTTGATTGACAGAGAGGTAATAATAAATATTTGAATGAATTACTGATAAGTATGTAGAACGTCTATTAACATACTGGGAAAGATGAAATGACAGACAGATAGTGATAAATTTAGGCGGATCGACTATTGAATGCTTATTAAGATAAATTGCCAGATGAGCCTTTATCTACTTCATCTAAGTAACACATAACATGGGCGAGAATGAGTCTCCACAACTTCCTATCGCTTATGGCTATTAAGAGTATCTGTCTATATTTCTGAGATGAGGTATTATGTACACTATTTACGTTATTTGGACTATTATCCTCATCTTTGTCACCATATACATTCCAACCACCTGAAGAAGGCCAGAGCGTACAACGGCCGAAACGTTGTAATAAATATGGCCACAAAGATGAGGACAATAGTCCGAATAATGTAAATAGTGGTATTAACAGTGTTTCTCTATTTGCCAAGACTCCCACATTCCATTCAGCCTTTCTTTATAACAAGCTCGTGAGGTCGATGGTTGGCCGCATTCCCCCATCTCTCATGTCCTCAAGTAGAACCCTCTACCCCAGTGGGTTAGGTTTTCTAAGGTCTGCTTCCTTACTGTTAAGAGTAGATAGATTGACCAACTATTGACAACCCGGGAAGGATGAGTATAAAGACAAATAAGGTACAAATAGATCGTTCGTCAGCTATCTGTTTTCTTCTATTTATTTATTTAGTTATAAGCATTACATCCCTAGCAAGGCGGGAAGCCACTAGCACGCAATGGGATGCAGCGGATTTGGAGCGAGAGTAGATAGGAATGAGAGAGGAGAGGATGAGGAGAGGGATAGGGGATAGATCAACGCAACTGGAGATGTCGATTGGCATTACATTTGAAGAGTTGGAAATTAAAGCTACCAGGGAAACAGGAGTAGGGAAGGGAATTCCACAGACGGGAGGTGCGAGACATGAAGCTATTGGATTAGAAGAGGCGGCTACATTTCACAGTTTCATCATTGAAAGGGTGAGAGCGGGATGCCAGCCTCGTAGGACGCTTGAATTCGCTAAGTCTTGGAACCAGCGAAAACAGCTCATCGGAGCTACCATGAAAGTATTTGTAAAAAAGATAGAGAGAGGCGACGGCACGTCTGTGAGAAAGCGACTGCAGACGAGATGCTAGATCAGAGCCAATTATATTGCATATCAGTCTCTGGATCTTATCAAGAACCCCCAGGCAAACAGAAGGGGCTCCAGACCATATATGGCAGGAATACTCCATGTCCTCAAGATGCCCCTTGAAGGCTAAGATTTCCAATAACTCTTTCCTTACCGATAAACTGATAACCTTTACAAGCCGTCTTTCTTTACTGTTCAGTATAGAGAAATTATTCGACTATTGAATGAATGGGGATGAATTGACAGATAGATAAGATATTGATAATATTGATAGCTTATGAGGACAGACGAGCATATATATATATTCTTCTACGTAGCGCGATTCTTCGGGACATGTGTGATCATTTCTCTCCATAAATTTCTTATCCTATGTGTCCCTTAACAGTGTTTCCTACTTTGACACGATTCCTAACTACCCATTTCGTCGTACATTCACACAAGCTCGTCAGATAGATGGCTACCTACCTTCCCATATCTCCTCTAAGACACCTCCCGAGGATTAAGTTTTCACAGTCCTCCTCACTCACTATGTACCCCAGAAATTTAGGTGTATCCTTCTGATTCTGAATTGTTCTTTTTGGGCATTTTCTTTAAGGCTTTCTCGTTGCTTAATCGCTCCTTCCACGGAATTCTCAGTATCCTTCTGTAGAACCACAATTCTTTCCCCCACCCCCGTTTTCCATTTATGCGTGAAAAGATCCTCCAGCATTCACTGCCAGATAAGATGATGGATATCATACGGCAATCCATCACTTTTTTCTGACGTTTAGATTTTGGATTGCACCTTCTGCTAACCTAATGCGCCTTCGAATGTCGGTGTCACATTTTCGATCGCAGGTTAAAACGCTTCCCAAATATTTAACCTTCTGCACTTCGTTGATGTTGTCTTCTCGTGGTTCGCATCTTGGAATTTTACCCATGCTGATGACCATAAACTCTGTCTTATTGCAATTGATAGTTCGTCATTTTATAACGCTTGCCTTTCCTACCTTCTCGAGGAGATCCTGTAGTTTTCAACCTGTGTCATCCATCAACTCTGTGTCATAAGATATGGCCATAAACCATGTATATATAGACTGTTTAAAAAGCCATTAGATACTTTGAAAGAGAAAAAGTGACAGAAAGATGAATTAAATTAATAAATAAAATGAATATATAATTTCTGACTGAATCGTAATAATAATAATGATAACAATATTTATTATTATTATTATTATTATTATTATAGAAATACTATTGGTATTTTATTGATACACAATCATGTTTGGTTATGTGTGGTTTATTTTGTTTTACGGCATATCAACCTCAATAAGTTATTTAAGTCCGACAACATTTTTAGGATAGACTCGTATGAATAGAATATGTATTCTTTGGTTTAAATTGGTTTGGTTTATTTTGTTTTACGGCATATCAACTTCAATAGGTCATTTAATGCTGACAAAATTTTTTATTTCTGGTAATATTTTGTTTTGTCAAAAATCTGTTTCTCGTAATAGTTTTCCTTTAAAATTGTATTGCTATTAATATTTTTTTTCAAAAAAAGTATTGCTGGTAATAGTTAATTCTTTGCACATAGCTGGGGCCCTAACAGATGCTACTACCCAGGCTCTGGGTGGGTCTGGGAATACCAGCAATTAAGAGGTGGTTCTACGCTCCTCAAAACGTGCTGATCAGAGGCGTTGCTGCTGGATGTAGTTTATCGTTTACCCAGGACGCGATTGTACTTTAACATCTTACCCAGAACTATACACAATCAGACTCGTCAGCGGAATTAACAGATTTGTAAGTATATATATATAAATACTAAGTGGTTTGATAAACAGATAAACAGATTGATAGTAAGATGAGCACAGAGTTCTTTTTTTGTGTCATATGTCTTCGATATATATTTGCTCATGTCTCTCCATAGATTCTCGACTTGC